TGAAAACCTGCTCCAAAGTCTACGGTGTCCTTCCTTAAATTAAATTCAAGTCTGGATTGCGGCTGGGGTTTTCTGAGCTCCACCTTACTGCTGCGCTGTTTTACATGCAGCATCCCAAAGCAAAGCAAGCAAAATCCTTTGTGGAGAGGCTGAGCCTGAATGGGGGCTAGGTCGCAAATCGCTGGTACCTGCTGGCAGGGCCACTCAGCAGCATCCCTGGCACTGCAGAAAAGGGGACCATGCCGTACCGCGGCCCTGCTCAGGCAGCAGCCCTGCCCTGCCCTGCCCGTTACCTCCACCCCGATGCAGCCACCGAGACTGAAGCTGCAAATCCATCCTGTGTGCACAGGCCTTATGCTGATCCCTCTGAAGCCGCTACATGCTTCAGGCGGTGGCTCCTAACAGCTTCAAACAACCGTATTAATCTGCATCAGCCTCCCCTGCCAAGGCGCGCAGGGCGGCCGAGGCGCAGGGAGCACAGCAGGAGCTGCGCAGCCAGACTTTTATGGCCACAAAGGCCAAGTCGCACCTGCCAACAGTTGTGAATAGACTTGCAGACAGCACCAGGTGTGCCGTTTCAACAGATTTCACAACTGGGTGTGCCTTTCGTCTATGTATAGAGCCCCGGCGAGGGGATGAAGCGCGCTCGGCAATTGTCCTAATTTAGCCAAAGTCCTATGTGACCAGTGGGTTGCCCTGCTCGGTCGGCACGTGTGTTTCGGGCGCAATTATATCAGTTGCCCTTGGCCTGGACCCGGCCGCGGCCCTGCAGGGAGTCAGGGAACTCCACTTTTATCACTGGTGGGGAGGGAGGGTAATGAGGGAGTGGACGAAAAGGCAAGCGGCCGCCTGCCAGGGGAGCACGCTTCCAGCAGCGCAGGAGCATCCCCGCGCACTGGGGGAGCAAGGGCAGACGGGCAACCCTGCGCCCCATCCCCGTGCCTGCCCCCACCTATGCCCTGGTGTAATTCAGCTCATTTATTGAAAGTGTCAGCCTTTCAGAGCAGCATTTTAATGCTATCACTGTTCAGTGCCTAATACCACGAGATCTGGGAGTAGCTCAGGGCTTGTAGACACTTTACAAATAGGGTAATAAACAACAATAATAAACAAGGTCATGTATCACAAGGTGTTGGTGACGTCTCTTCTGCCGGCAACATTACATTCAAGATTTTATAATTTCAGGCTTCATTAGAAGCCTGAGTCATAATTTCAGTTTCATTAGATTTTCTCTATATTGCAAAGCCACACCATAAAAATGAGAGAGATCCTGTTTTTTAAATGCAGACCACTCGATTATACTCAGTAAGAAAGACACTGTTTTCATGGGGATGGTTGGATGAAATTAGGTAACAGTTTTGCAGGCTGAAGTTAGTATTTATCACCAGCAAACAGGGACCCTGTTTTACTCAGGACTGTCTGCTGCTCTCCGTGGACGTATGTGTGGTGGCACATCCAAAGGATGCATCTAAAACGCAGTCATGATTTCAAGCTTCCATTAGAAGCACTTTTTTCCTGCCTGGGCTTGAGTGATGTATATTGGATTTGCCCTAATTATGATCTTTGAAATGAGCCCTGATGAGAGAAGTGGCATCTGAATTGCTCTGGTTGCATTTTTATAAACATGAATCATCAACTGTTTTGAAAAAAGTTTAAGCACTTTCTCTTACATTTGAAAGCCTTCCTAATTCCTTATAAAAATCCCTGTCAAAATTGACAAGGAAAAAGGAAAAGGACGAAGACACATTTATATTTAATACTGCAAAGCCAAACACCAGATGCAACATCGCTTTATGTGCAGCTTTCACTATATTGCATCGCTGCTGTGTCTGTGGAAAATTCCCAAAGTGTGGAAGAAAACCAAAGCAATCCCTTGACCATGTTGTTTCTGTTTGAGAATTACGAATTGCTGGGATGGCCTGGCAGGGTACAGGGCCAGGGTGCAGCATCCTTTGGGGTCTAAAGGCTTCAGAGCCACTGCAGTCCCCTGGGATGTTGTAGGACCCCTGGGGAAGGATGGCCTGGGAGGTGGGGGCAATGCTGCTCAGCTTCTCACCCGGCCTTCTGGATCATGGAGAAGTGCTGAGGGACTGCCCAGCATATGCAACTGCCGTCTGTCACAGTTAACTGGAAGATAAATATCAATTCCATAAAAAAAGGGTTAGTCTGAGCAGCTTGCGTTGGCGGGGTCGCCTCGGAGCACAGCAGAAGGCTGGTGCCACACGGCTGTCCCTGCCCCCTCATGGGGGCTGCAGCTTCCCTCCCCATGCACCCCTCCATGCTGCTGCACCACACGGCCTCTCTTCCCATGCCGTGACTTCCCGCTCTCACCCCACCTCTGCTGCTGCTCTGCTGGTGGTAGCTCCTCTGCATCACCTGCATGGCCCCAGGGCTGGGCTGTGAAGCCAACAGGCCTCAGGCACGTACAGCTTGCACGTCCTCCAACTAGCAAGCCCTCCGCCCCGCTGGCCAAGTGATGGGGAATAGCCTTCTGCTGACCAGCAGCAGTAGTTCGGGCCAGATTTTGGCAAGTCTGGCACTGCCCTTGGCACTCCCCCAAACACACACACTTGAGGAGGGATGGTACATTAGAAGGACAGCAGCAGTACCTTGGAGTGGGCAAAATATTTGTGATTCAAGCTGTCCAGTCCAAGAGGTGCAGCCAAGGCACAATCAGCTGGCACCAGCTCTGTGATGCGCACAGAGATTTTAGGACCTTCATTCTCCCCCTCGCTGGGTATGGCCACGCGCTCTCCCCAGCAGCCCGTAGCGCATGACATGCACGTTATGTGGTGGCACAACAGATCCAGCACTGACCTGCCATCTCCAGGGGTGGTCTGGTAAGTGCAAACTGAATGCAGGTGCTGAGATTTGAGGGCACTTCTAGACAGACTAATCTGTGAAATGCGTATTTAGTCTGATGAATCACACCTTGAACGCTGGTCACCCACACAGGCAGGTCAAAGCCATGGGCTCTCACCAATCTGGTCAATGCAATGTGAGTGCACCTTGTGAAGCACAGACTCCAGGTCCTGGATGCGGCAGGGGAGGGAATGTCTGACTGCGGGAGAGCTCTCAGCATCGCACGAAGAGCCTCATTAGAATTGGAGTTTTGTCCTTTTGTAATTCTGGGGCAAATGGTATAAACTTTGAAAAGTTTCAAACTCTGACCCCCCCCTCCACTACACCGATTTGTTTTTCCAAATTACTGCATTATACAGCAAAAAAGGCTTTCGACATGTATATGCACACACTTACTAGCTTGGCACTAAACAGATCAACAAGCTACTGTGTCATCATTTTGACAGAGTCAAATAGATAACTTTGGTAACTACAGCCTGGAATAAAAGACATTATTTATTATACATATTGTGGTAGTTCATAAAGGCCTCAACAGCAATCAGGACACATTGTACTAGGCACCGTAAAGAGACAAAGCAGTGAAGACCCTGCCCTAAAACACCTTTCAGTGTAATTACATCAGGCAGAATTTATTTGCTTTTCACCATAACTCAGCCCTTGACTCGCCACAGAGCAGCACAGCTCAACACCAATGTGTCCGAACTTTCACAGAAGATGTCTGACTCCCACAGAAGAAGGCTGCTCTTTCTTCAGTGGCTTTCCAAGGACCTTTCCTCCCCGTCCAGCAAGTACCAGTTTTAAAACCTTTTTTTAAAAAAAAATATCTGCTTATACACCTACTTAGATATGCAGTGATTTTAAATCAGCCACTGGATACCATCAAGCATCTGTACTACATTTATTCCAGTTGCTATATGAAAGTTTGTCTATTTGCCACACTCATCATCTAAACATACTTAGTACCTCAGTGACCCCAGAAGCACATATAACGAAGGCATGTTAATTAAGTCAAGGAATAACATAAACCAGTGCATAATTAAATTGCCAGACTTGATTCGCTTTCACTCATGCTCTTCACAGTTTCACACGACAAATAGTCCACATCTAAACTACGCTGATAGGACAAGTAATATACATTCTAATCAGACCACTTTATTAAATCAAATCGTGTTGCTCAGTACGTCTGTGCAGGTTGCATGGGCTTCACTGTAAACTGCACAAATGATGATAAAATCTCTCAGTAAAGCACTTCCTGCCATTAGATTTGAAGGAGCGTTGTCTGAGGGGTAAGTCCCATTCTTCCCATTTGGGCGATAAGGAAACTGAGACCACAGAACACCTCCCATAAATCGCTTGTGTTAGTCAACTTAGAGTCAAATTAAAAGAATTTGGCCTCTTGAGTCCTGCTCTAAAGGACAAAGTTTGATCTAATTAATCAAGTATTACCCATAAAACAAACAAAGAAGCATGTGTTCCAGTAGAAGCCCCCATCATTCATCCCCCTATCACCACCACTGCTGCTCAGCATTATAGTGGGAACAAACAGAAGCACATAACCTTACAGCTCGTCTATTGTCAACATGACACATTAGCAGAAGGATTTACAGATATGTTTGCTTATGAAATAAAGGTTTGCATGTTCAGAAATGCAGACATTTGCTCTGTACAGGAGCTACACACCATGGAGAAAGCTGCTCCCTGAAAGCTGTGCAGAACTCAGAACACAGTTAGGATATCTGTGGCTGTGAAGGTTTGCTGCCCCCGCCCCCCAAATATTAGAAACTACAGGGAATACACAGCTGCCAGCACACACAGACCACAGTGACAGGCTCATACAGCAGCTGCACTGAGGTCCTAAGCAACTCTTCAAAATAGTGGTAGAGCAGTGCCATGAAAAAGGAGAACTGGACACGTTTACTTAGCCTCTGTGCAAAAACCAGCGTTTGCCTTGCAGAGGCAAATCCTGGCCCCAGTGAAGCCAGTAAGTGTTTTGCTGATGATGGAAATCGAGCCAGGATTTTAACTCAGATTTTGTTTCTAAATTTATTTCAAGAAAGATTTGCTCTGTGAAAAGTTGAGTTTATTGAGGCAGGCAGAGCTGCAGTTTTCTGTAGCCACAGAACCAGCAGGAAAGCTTTTCGTAAAACCACGGTGCTTTGTTTTTATTTTTTTGGTAGCTTGGGTGCTATGTTGTTTTGGAACCACATGAAGCTGAAGATGACACCCATCGTCTTGGGGAGAGTCTCATCATAAGCAAACTTCATGGATTCTTCCAAAGGTATTTCTACAACCTCAATCAGCTCTCCTTCTTCAGGCTGGCCACCTCCTTCACCAGTTCTCATCTGGTCTGTTACTTCTGCATAAAATAATGTCTGCCTAGAACCCGTCACACCAACTCCAGACCTGGAAAAAAGCAGAGAGGAAACTTTGTTTTAGACAAAAAGAAGGCAGCTAGGAACTAGGAATGGAAATGTAGGTCCTTAACCTGTGTCACTAAGCAACACCAAGATCCATGTCCTTACTCTCTGCTAATGTCATCGAGAACCCCTAAATGCAATTTAGTTAACACAGAAATTGATTGCAACTTTCGCGCAGAAATACCAACACTTTTGAATACAGTTGCATATGAAATGGAACAGTTTTCAAATATATTTTGCAACTTTTGGTAAATGTTCATTCAGGGGAAAATAAAAAAAACAAGTTTTGATCTGGCGAACTGTTGTTCTACATATACTGAAAGCAACAGAAGTTTTTGCAACTGACTGAGAGCTGGACTGCACGAAGACTCACAGAGATTTACAAACAACAGAATGAAGCTCCTTAGTGTATCTGTGTGCTCTCACGCTACATTTGTTTGCTTGTTTTTACACAAATACTTAGATTTTTTACTCTTAAGAAGATTATGTCCATTCACAGCTGGAGTCCTCTACTCATGGACTGGAGCGGTAGAAGAACAGTAAGTCAGCCTGAGAGCCTTTCTCTATCATTCCTGAACTTTAGCCTTGACCCAAATGGACCACTGTTAGCACGCATGTATCTGAAGTAATTCAGTCTCCCTGCTAAATTTGCTACAGTGGATTTAGTTGAGGATATTTTAGATTATGTAGTCTTTCTTCAGCTAGACCGCTTGCTGTGTATTATGCTTCTTATTTGTTAATCCTCTATTTCCTTAGGACTATTTCATTTAGGTATTATTAAATAAGGGATAAGCACATAATCCACTCATTTAGTCCTTCCAAGAGAATATTCACATCGTAATCGCAATTTCTTCATTTCACATGATTACAAGTGACTTTTCACATTGAATCTGGGTCCAAAGTTCACTGAAACGATGAATGAGGCATTAGGGCAAGATGAAAAATTAGCTTCCATATAATTACACATACAGAGGATTCTGTAAGATTTGCAGTAGCATTATGATCTTAGAGCGTATATCCATACTTACCCAACCATTAGTCAACTAAATCTTTCAGTTAATCCAGCGTATATCATGAATGCTGACACTCATCTCACCTCAACTGAAGATCCAACCAGCAGACAGCACAACACAAACACAGTCTTTGAAAGCAGCAGGAGATGCACACTGGGCCCACCATGCTCTCTTAATCATTCTGATCTCATTATAAAAGGTAGATTAATTTTTCATCAAGTTGCTGTCAGCAACCAGCTCACAGAAGTTGGAATGCCATTTTTTATGTTCACATGCTATCAGTGCCCCTTCTACGATGGCACACTTTACCAGCTTCCCATTGTGTTAAAATACAACATATTTTTCATGGTATTATCAAGCAGTAATATACAATGTTAAAAAGCAACATTGGAAATGAAATACTGATTAAGAGCAAACGGATCTATTTCACAATCCATCACGGCTGGCTATTTAAGCTCTAGTCATTCAGTGAACAGTCTCCATCAGCTGAGTCACCTTGACATCTGTCACTGACCACTGACCTGTGTGCCACCCACTCCTCACTATTGCAGCTGTGTCCATTGGAAGAAGCCTCACTGAGAGAAGGCATTTGTGATGGAATAGTAGACTGTTCATTTTCTGTTCCCTCTTTTCCTTCTTCTTTTCTTGTGTGAGAAGGTAGAGAGGATTTCTTTTTAATCAACTAGTGATCCAGATCTGTTTTTCTCTCTATATAGTGATTACTCATTCTTCAATTGTTTCTGCAAGAATTGCGTTTTTAGTAATTAAACAAACATAGGAAGACTGGAGTTCAAAGATTGGTTTTTGGTAATTGATAATAAGAATTAAAAACATGTTAATTTATACCGTAAAATTTGCAAGACAAAGAACGCAGCTTGCTAGTCTCCACAGGTACCACAAAAACCCAGGACTACGCATAATGTATTTAATGTTCTGTTATTTCTGATGAGTGTCAAGTCTGAGCTACATGTGGGGTGCCCCACCTGGAGAAGAAAAATGATCCTAAATTGAGTACATCCATTTCCACTTGATATTATGTAAAGGTTATACACAAAAACATATAGACTTAATTTAAGAAGAACGTTCTGGCTTGATTACTTACAGCACGATGTCCTTCTGTACCACCTGTGAGCATTTACTTATGAAATAGCTGCAGCAGTGGAAATCACAGGAGTTCACTTTCCACACATCTTTTCTTTAAAGGAAAACTGCTTCCAGAGGTGCTACACTGTAAGATTCAGTTTCTTGCCACTGTAGCTCAAACAGCACAGAGTGATTTCAATATGCTGTCATTTCATTGTATTTACCCATATGATATTTCTATTAAATCAGTGTTTACCTTCTTATGAACTATATATCTCAAGAGTGGCTGCTCCACTGAATACACTTTAAAAGACAAAAGCACTGGACATACCAATGTCTCTCCTTTGTTATGATGCTCAAAGTTACAGCACTTCTTCATGTGTACTGGCATACATAATTTGCCACAGGGACTAACAAAAAATTTGCAACAATACATATTCAAAGGAGGACATACCCACGTGTTTACTCTTTCTCATTGATTACCTAACTTGTCTTTCTCCGGTGCAACTTTGTCATTCATTAAAAACTCCTAAAACTTCCAAATGAGCTACAAATAAAACCAGAGTGCTGGTATTAATAATCACGTTATTCTATCCTAGTCTTCCCCCCACAAACCAGCAAATTTAACATTTCTAAGACTACTTAGAATCCCCTCACTATTTAGACGGGTGACTTTGGAGACTATTGCATGACATTATTTATAAGCATATTCCCTGTTTTTATTGTTTAACTAAATGTCCATTTCAATACTTTCAGAAAGAAGTTGAAGGATAAAAGAATGTACTTTAATTCACAAAAAAGGCATATTTCTTACCTTTTTTTTTTTAATTTGGTATTTCTTTCTCTAAATGTTCTGGCTTAATCTGCCAGTTGATCATTTTTGCATGGATCCACATGGAATGCCCTTTACTAAATTAAATATTCTCCAATAGTGCTTACTGCTGTCTTTCACAACATTTCCAGATGCTTAGATATTAATGTATCCTGCCTGTCCTTAGAAAATTGTCCAAAAATCAATGCTATTGACATTTCATTTGTCTTAGTACCTTTGATTTTTATAGAAATCAAAAGTTAGCAGGTTTGTTGCTTTGAAGCTGTTCTGAGCCTCCATCTGGTTGAAGTAATAAAGTGTTTTAACACATACCCTTGAAAATGTGTACCCATTTCAGTGATTTTGGGTACTGGGGCCAGAGGAAGAAGAGAGCAGAGAGGGAGAAGGTGGGTCTGACTAGTAAATAGGCAAGAGGCCGCTATTATGGTCTCAGTATGCTTTCAGGTTTATGTGTCACTAGGAACTTCCTACGCATTTGCACACTTACATGCACTTTCTGAGTACGATATTTAAGGAATTTTGATGTGCCTTTAATCATGGTTATATTCCTTTTCTGCTACCTTCTTCCTCTGTCCCAAGTCTGTGACATATGCTTTTCCTTGCCCTAGTATCTCACATTACAAATAAAATGCTTTTGCCATGGTCTGAAATGAGTCACCTATTAACAGATTACGGCTATATTCATTAGCTTTGCATCTGTGGAAATCACAGGGGTCAGCACACCCGAACTGCAAGTGATGAGTTTCACCCTGGGAAAACCACCATCCTGATAAAGGTGTCTCCCCTTCCCAGTACCAGAGAAGCTTGGTTTGGGGGAGGGCAAGCAGGGTCTGAACTCACAGCACCAGCCCACAGGGAGACTTCAGGCTTCAGTCTCACTCCACGGGTTTAGCACCATGTTGCCCAGATCAGGCATGTCATGGCTCATACTGACCCAGATCTACTAAGCCTAGCTTGACCTAGCTGATGGTTCCAGATGTATTTTGATGTGTCTGTACGGTGCTTGACTCCTATTTACCACTGAGGGACAAATGCAAATGATCTAAAAACACATCTCTGTTCTCCTCTTTATCGTGAAGATCAGCTTCCTCTAAGAAATTTATAGTTGTTTCAATGAACAGCTACACGGCTGACAAATACTTTGTCAAATCATTAGGGCTTAAGCTCACAAACACTGTAACTTCAACAAACAGATTTTTAAAACCAAAAGCCTATTAGCACTAAACTTTCAGCTTTGCTTCAGAGACAGAAACCTCCATTACCTTTGACAACAGCAAGTCTAAGAATGTAAGCATGTCAAAGTAAAGATACCAAAGTGGTATGGTTTTCATCACAATAGTAACTTAAATGTAAGTTTAATACATCAAAACAGCACTGTATGCTGCATTCCCATATTTTATTTTAAATAAAACACTCAAACACTGTGATTAAATCATGCTAGGGCTTTCAAAGCTGTGAGCAACACACTTGTAGGCAACAGCACAGTGGAGAAGCATTTCTGCAGAATGACTGCCAAGGGCTTCTCATCACCTCCTGCCCAGGGGTGAGGCTGGCAGGCAGAACCACGATGTAACTAGAGTATTTGCTATCTACTTCCTTCTTAGAGCAGGGAAAACACAAGAGACAGGTTGTCACTTCAATCGGTTCTTGAAACAGGCAACAACAGCTATCACAAAGCCTTTGTTTAGCTCTTCCCTTTTATCAAATGCATGAGGAAATACATAGCATGTGAAATAGAGCTCACAAAACGGGACTTTTTACTTGTCATATCTAAGTTCATAAGCAAAAAGATACATTACATACATATTTCTTACCACAAGTGGGTAACAGTATATTACTGCTTTAAAAAAAATTAAATTAGTAGTGCCTAAAGGCCACAAGGGAGATTGAGTCCACCTTACACATTTGCCGATGCCCAGGAACAGTGAATTTCTTCTTCAAACAGGGTACACATGCACACGTGCACATTTGTAAGCAGGTCAAAATTCAAAGCGTGTACTCAAGATTAGCTTTGCCTTCTCATGTCTGGGTGCTCATCTATGCCAACCGATTATTACA